TTGCACATCATATTCTTTACAAGATTTGATATCTGACAGGTGAAAAAGAAGAAATTGTTTATTACCCACGCTGGATGAAAAATCAAAATTCTTCCGCTACAGTCTTTCATCAAGTCCGGTACGAGCGGCAGCTTACAGAGAATGTTTGGCTTGCATCATCCTATCGGGGTTTCAGATGGTAGACATAGAAGGCTAAATCGAATTTGTGGATCATGGCACACGCTCCCATGAGAAAACAGGACATTTGAAATCTTGGAAGGCAGTTGTTCTGCCCCACTCCTTTACGCTCTCCTATACTGGAAAAAAATGTATTAGAGAAAAAAAATCAATGTTCCAGTGTTCACCTACTTAGTACAGTACAACCTTGACCCAGCACTCCTCACAATGTATAGTAACAATGAACAAGTTGGTACCGCGACATCGCTTGAGCCTGCTCAATTAATTTCATGTCGGTACTATCGCGCAAGAGTTTCAAGCGTTCAGTGTGGTTCGCTTAGCTTTTACCTTCAAGACATTTGAAAACGTGAAAGGCATCTGTTCTGCCCTGCATGCACAATTCCGCGCAAGTACTGCTTTGAATGGTCAAACTGAAGTTCGGGTACGGCAGGGGAGGGGAGGAGGGGGCACTATTATGCTCTCCTTTACTATGCATAAGCATACTTATACCACGTAATCGACTCACTTGAAAATTATACTCCTAAGAAACCTTCACATTTCGGCCTGCAGTGGTTCGAGGAAATGGACGTAACCAGGGACTGGGCACCCTTGCTTAAATCTAAGGGTTGAAGAGCCTTAGGTGGATGAGCACGTGTCAACAATGGTCTCGGAAGTAAGCGAGATGTGTGTGTGTTGTAAATAGGACACACACCGGTCCTTATCAAGAGTACACTTTGAATGAGTCGTTTACCTATTATCCCTTCCTTGTCTTTAGAATCGAAAGGAGCGCTCCTAATGTAGGATAAGACAGGGGTGCCCTCCCCAAACACCACTCTCACTTGTTGAACATATCTGTTGTAGGCAGTGAAACGAGGATGACAGAATTCGCTCCGGGAAGTATGGACTTTTGAGGTGCCCTGGTCCGCATCGACGCACGTCACTTCACGCCATATCAGCAGGATCTCAGATCGAAGTACAACTGAAATTCTTATCATGTATTTCCTCCGGAACCTACGCTGTGTAAATAACCTCTGATGCCCTTCGAGACCAACTTTGTGTGAGCTCGTTCCCTCCGCTTTCATCTCATGACCTCTTTTGTGTCCGAAATATGTGTGCACATAAAAAGTCCCAAATGAAACTTTTTCAACGTATCGCGTTTACCTACAGCCATAAAAACCAGGTATTGTGCATATAAAAACTGGGAGCCTGAGTCATGTGCACTTGAGAATGTTTCGGCTTACTGCTCTCCTCGCCATTATTCGCTTGGTATCCTCTTGCAATCCTGGTGTAGGTAGGGAAACTGCTTCTCCTCGTCTCCACCTTGATAGGCTAATAGAATCAGCTAGCTAGTAGAATCACTTTTAGGACCAGATGCTACAATCGTAACCAATCCTATGTTCACATTCTCATTCTACCCGCCTATAGCATGGACATATTACGACGTAAGTTCGGACGGAATCGACATCAGTGCTGCACTGGGTTTAACCTAATTCTAGGGAATACCGCCCACTGGCGTTCAAGCTGCCACCGCCACTGTGTATCCTGGGCAGCAGGCTTCGTTGAGTGATGCCCAGCGGGTAATGCAGAACGATGTTGACGCGGCAGTAAGTTATTCACAGTTTTGGAAAATGGCTTCGATGCCGTAGAACAGTATAGCTTATTGGTGAATGTGTGAAAGATTTTCTGTCGATATCAGATCTTGAAAGCTCTGAATAACCTTGGGGTGGCACCGCAAGGTACGACGTGGCAGCTTAGCGGCTACACACCTCAAAACTGCCTCATTAGGGCTGACAATGGCCAGCAGGTGAGTTGAGTTCTCGCTCGCCTTCATAGTTACGATAATGTACCAATTCAGGGATGGAGAGCAGTAGGAACGTGCGTTCCACAAATCGGCGCTGTGGTCGCGAAACGGACAACGGCTGACTCTGACACAGGGACTAGTAATCTTCAGGTTCGCGTTTTAGTTGTCTTTACCATTATTTTTATATGTAGTGGAGTGCAAACGAGTATAAACAGACAGCCGGGTCCTTGAGCTCCTTATGCTCACCCGCAGAAATCGAATTTTGGGACCGACCAATTTTCATTCATAGATTTGTACCTTCTTCGGCAAACTCAAACAAAAAAGAAAAAAAGAGGTCCTTTCTCGTGTACGTTTTTCTCGCATCTCGTTGACTAGTGCACCCCCACCACCTCTACCCTCAGCTCAATAGGGAGCGACTTCTCGAACCATACGCCTATAGGGGAGTTTTGATGCGACCCCATCACATCCGTTTGTCTACCATACGAAATCCTCACCACCTCCGCATCTCCGACCATCACGGCTGTTTCCATGGCATTTTGTTCTAAGCCCAGTCGAATTTCAACTACACCTACATTTTCATTCAAAAGCTGCCACGGCCAAGGAGGGTGGAGCAAATATATCTAATTCTGTTCATTTCATGTGTTTAATGTTCTCATGAGTTTTACCACGAAAACGTGAAAGACCCTTTAAATCCACATGTCACAACCAGGGCCCCACTCTAAACTTTGCTGAATTCCGTCAGCACAATTAGAACCCTACCCAGGATCACCAACATGACCCTTCTCCATATGGCTCAGCCAAATGCGCGGTTGACTCTGCATGGAAGTCTGGAAGGAGCCAGAGCAAAAACCGGCAAAATAAAGGACAGGTCGAAACCCTAAGGAAGAGCTTTCTATTGTCCGATCAATATTCATGGCGGAACATGCTTCGATAACAGCTCATTTCACCGCACTGAGGTCACTCGGAATTCTGCCGTTTTAGCTAAGTGGGCATTCGCAAGAACAGCTCTCCTCCGTTGACACGGCTGTAGTCATTGTAGATTCTACTACTTTCAAAATCACTGTAAAGGGGAATCGCATGTCACTTCTTCCAGGATATTGTAATGTATAGTATTTACAGAATGGAGTACTTCGCGTGACCACCTCGCTACTCGTGACTCGATCGCAATGGAAGTATATTGCGTCAGAAGTCTACAACCAACTCAATGTCTACTCCAAGGTCTACTTCACCACCCCAATAGAGCTTAAATAAGTAATCTCAGATATTAACAATGTAATTGACACCAATAAATGTTTAATTGGGTAGTGTGCAAAAAGTCTTGAGCTCAAGGTTCTAAATCTCAATCAGTTCTCCGCTTGCTTAAGACACTAAACGCTCCGCCTCTTGCAAAATTTCGGTGAAAGTTGCGAAACGTTCCTAAACCTGTGGCTGAATTGAATAGCAGCATCAAAAGGGTAGATTATAATATGATGATGCAGGAAGCTCGAAAATAAAAAAAAATCACAGTACATTATCGCACGTCTATTTCAGATTTTTCAAACATTATGCATATGCGCAGGAAAGGGTTGCATCAATGATCGCGGCATGTGGCCAGCATACACTGCGTTTCATAATTATAGGTCCACCCTAAATTTTTGCTACCCCAAAGTTGCTGTGCATTTTTTGGAAATGCTGCTATCACCGTTAGATTCCTCATCACGGAAAACCTTCATAGTGTTTTTCTGACAAATTCCCCCCTCAAGTAACCCAATTAACTTTTTTAGAACGAATTTTCACCGTTTCATGAATATCGGGCCACTCATAAAAAGTTTCCATTTCTCACGATCCGTGAAGGGAATCAGGGAAGCGGGGAAATATGTGGGCTCAGTCGACATCGAGTTTACCATACCTCGTGTTATTCGCCTCTCTTCCCAGTAACAAGCAGGGTCGTCCCAGGGTCAAGCGAGGCGTTGAGGAAAATTTGGAAATACGACCCCCCCCCCACCACCCCTCCGCCGGAGGCCGAAGTCCATGAAACAACCCTCTTCAAAAGCCGAACTATGAAAAGGTTGAAAAGCTTGTTTAATTCTCCCCCAAAACTGCTCATAAAAAGCCCTGCTACCCCCCCGCCCACACCCACAAAAAAAATTCGTTTAAATGAATACTCTCACGAACACATGAAAAGTCAAAGATACAAAATAAATATTGATTGAGCCCCTACCATATAACCATCAAAACACGAAAAACATACGAAGTTATTACCAAACGTACAGACCAGAAAACGACAAACTAGCCACTAAAAATGGCATACTATGACAACATCTCTTCTTTATTTATTTCCTCCACAAGACTTACCAAATTCTAGTACTACACAGATTGTGGTTCTCAATTTACACGTCCCCCTTTCGCTCAAAGGAAGCCTTGTAAAAGCCTTCGCCAGCTGTGTGTTGACTGGACTTTGGCGTTGACCGTGGAGCAGCTTATTTACTATTGAAATTTGAACAAATATTCAAATGATTATAACTTTCTTCAAAGTTAACGAATTTTCAATCTGAAAGCAGATTTGGGAGTTTTGTGAAGAGCTTTTTCTAATCAGTACTGAAATTACAGGAAGTTATAAGAAATAACAAATTTAGATCAAATAACGAGGAAAATTCGAGACGAGCACGAGTTTTTACACTTTCCGGAGCAATAACTTGCTTCATTTCCGTCAAATTCAAAAAGTTGATACGTCATACAAAACTAGAAGATTTTCTCTATCAAACGGTCGCTAAAGCAGCTTCATACGTCCAGTACTCAAAAAATGGCCACGTTGAGGATTTTTGCAAAATTAACGAGGAAAATTCGTGATGAGTGCGAGTTTTTACGCTTTTAACTCCGTTCAAACTCATGCAATCTGGAAAGTTAATACGTCATCATAAACTAGAAGATTTGCTCTTTCTAAAGGCAACTAAAACTGCTAAATACGTTCACTATTTAAAAAATGGCCACGTTGAGGATTTTTGCCCGAGTACCGCCGAAAGGTACTTTTTCGCTACATTAGCACTATTTCAACGACTATAGCTCCTTTCAGGGCGATTACATACTAAAGTAGGAGCAGATTCAAAATCCTCGTGCTTTTCTCTCTGCAAAAAGTGTAAAATTGTTTAGCGGGTCTCAACTTTAAAGGTTACATGCTTGTGAATTTGACGCTGAAGGCTGCGTTTCTTGTTGAATAGTGTACTCCTCTCTGTAATTTAACATGAACTCTTTCAGAACCCTCTTGATTCTTCCTGAATTAAGATTCGTTATCAAGATAGCCGTAGCTGAAGCGCGCGCAACCAACTGGGCCCACTCTGGGATGCGCCGTGTGCTTCACATCTCGTTGGATTTGAGGACCTACTTGAAAGATAAAATATCCCTTGGAAAACGTGCGAATTTCGGATTCTTTAACTTGTGTGGTGATAAAACACTGAAGTAACTAAGAATTGCTAAGCGGACACCTCAGAATCACGAAGATTTTGTGTGGGACGGAATCAATTGTTATTGGAAATCCTCTGGCCTGGCATCGACTCATCCTTGATGTTTGTCCTCCGACGATCTATCGTACTGTATCAATCGGGCTCGATCTCTTCCTAGCAGGCCAAACTGCGCCCCGATTTTTACAT